AAGAGGGTGTGGATACCTTAACTTGTAGGACGCGTTTTGGTGAGCTAGCTCCCAAAGGCAAAACCGTGCGGGTGAGTGGGCCCAAAGCGGGCAATATTGTACAGCGGGTGGACTGGGCTGTTACAGATGGTATCAGAGTTAGTACCCGGACTGGTGTGCTAGCGAGGACGCTGGATCCCCAAGGGGGGTGGATTGTAATATCCCATATCGGTTATTAAGGAGAACGAAACATGCCTTATAAGAGGGTGTGGATACCTTAACTTGTAGGACGCGTTTTGGTGAGCTAGCTCCCAAAGGCAAAACCGTGCGGGTGAGTGGGCCCAAAGCGGGCAATATTGTACAGCGGGTGGACTGGGCTGTTAACACATCGGTTGTTAAGGAGAACGAAACATGCCTTATAAGAGGGTGTGGATACCTTAATTTGTAGGACGCGTTTTGGTGAGCTAGCTCCCAAAGGCAAAACCGTGCGGGTGAGTGGGCCCAAAGCGGGCAATATTCTATAGCGAGTGGACTGGGCTGTTACAGATTGACCTCGCATCGAGCTTCTTTCTGAGATCTTTGGATACATGTGCATAGGCTACAAAACCAAATACTCTGAGATGTGAGTATGTCAGATTTTTACCAGTCCATATTCTCTATGGAACTTCAAAATTTAATGGAACTGAAGGTGATCGGTTGATTAGATAACATGCGGTCTTGACAGTTTGTCCCCAAAATGGCTTTGGTAACTTAGCCATATTCATCATGCTTCGGACACACTCCATGATAGTCCGATTCATTCTTTCAGCAACGCTGTTGTGCTGAGGGGTACGTGGTACTGACTTCTCATGTCGAATGTCATATGTCCTGCAATATGCATTGAACTCTTTGGAAGTATACTCGCCTCCATTATCAGATAGGAGACATTTCAGCTTCTTTCTTGTTTCACATTCCACCATGACGTGAAATGACTTGAAGTACTCAAACACCTGGTCCTTCGTATTCAGGAAATATACCCACACCTTTCGAGAAGCATCATCAATGAAAGTCAGAAAATATCTGCTTTCATTGAATGATTCAATCTCCATGGGACCGCAAACATCAGAGTGTACCAAGCTTAACAACTGTGATCTCTTTGTTGAATTGGCATTGAATGAGACTCTATGCTGCTTGCCGAACAGACAATGACTGCAAGAACCCATTGTTGTACTCTTGTAAACCTTGATAAGATCTTTCTTCATCAGGGTAGTCAACCTTTTCTCACTCATATGGCCAAGTCTCTGGTGCCATAGATCCTGGGAAGCCTCTTCTGCAACATTGAGACTTTCTGTATTAATCTTCAAATGTGTTTTGTACAGCGTCCCACAAACATGTCCTCGGAGTCTCGGACAATTTTCAGAACACTCTTTGACAACTTCCATGTGTCTGCACCAAAGTGATTTCATATCCTTCTTTGTCAAGAGCCACCACTGATAAAAGATTCAGCCTAAGATCCGGCACATGTCTAACATCCTTCAATAGGATTGTACTCCCGATTCCTGTCGTTGCCTGGATATCACCAATTCTGGCTATTTCAGAGGAACTGGAATTTCCTATCTTCACCGATCCAAAGTCTCCAGCTTTGTATGTTGTGAATATTTTCTGTTGGGAGTAACGTGATAGGATGCTGCAGTATCTACCACCCATTCAATGTCTTCTCTTGAGACATGAAGGAATGTCTCACCATGGTTAGAGCAATATGTACATCACTTGAGACAGTGATGAGAGTTTCACCACCCTTGCTCTTGTTCTTCTGCTGAGAACTTTTCTTCGGCTGAGAATTGCTCTTGCCTTGCTCCTCGAGCCATTTATAGCAATTCTTCTTCATATGACCTTCTAGACCACAATGATAGCACACATGTCATCTCCGATCATCTGATTGCCTCCCCTTGCTTCTACCCCTGCTCTTTTCTCTACCACTTCTTTGTTGTTTGCCTTGTGGTCTTCCTCGATTCTCCATTACAAGGGCATGAGTTTGATCTGTGCCCATGTCTTTTCTTCTTGCCTCTTCTTTGAATAAGGCATCCTTGACAATGGACATGGAAGTTTGCCGTTTGAGGCTGAATTGCTGAGAGTAACAACAAGTGTTTCCCACCTATCAGTAAGGGAACTAAGAAGTAGCAGAGATTGCATTTCATCTCCAAGTGGCATCTCCACACAAGATAGCTGATTTACCAAGCTCTGGAACTCACTGGTATGCTCGGTAATAAAAGTTCTACTTTTCAACTTCATATTGACTAAGCGCCTCATCAATAAGACCTTATTCCGAGCGGCTTGGCCTGATACATGTCCTCCAGCTTCCTCCAAAGGACATATGCATCGGAACATGATGGAAGACACTATGGTCTATCCATTGTCGGATTTGACCAGTAGTTTTTCTATTGATTTTCATCCATTCTAACGCCTTGGACGGATCAGGGTTAATACCCTTCAGCTCTATTGGGTCAAAGAGCTCTTTACAGCTGAGGAAATCTTCCATTCGAGGTTTCCACAACGTATAGTTGGTAGCCGTGAGCATAATCATAGCTTTAGAAGATGAAGTTGACTCTTCCATGCCATTTTTCAGCTTCCATGATCTGTTGGAGACAAATCGGAGCTGTATTTTGAAAAATAGATAGCACCGTTGCGTCCAGAACAGTCGAAAATGGGGGGGGAGTTTTTTTTTTTTTTTTTTTNTTGTTTCTTTTTTTTTTTAAGAACTTCAGAAGGCTTTTTCATGCAGCTCCGGTGTCCGTTTTTCGCCCGTAAGATACCACCGTGACCGCCTTGATGAGACGAATCTAACAGTGTCCTTAAATTGAATTTCGAGCACAACTCAAAAACTCGAAATTTCTACAGAAATCTCGAAAAATTTCAAAATTAAGCTCGAAAGCTTCAAATCGAGCTCTGATACCACTTGTTGTGGTATCTTCCCAAGATCATAATCGTAATTGAGAGAAAAATAAGTTTCTATTACTCACAAGAATAAAAACAATAGATTTACAAACTCTAAAAAAAAACTCTCAAACTCTCCACAACTCTACTTGGTTATGTTTTAACACTCTCAAGGTTGATTGATCACACTATAGGATGATTCAAATGAATGAAATATGCAACCTATTTATAGATATAATCAAGCACACCATTGTTGAGAAATGGTGGGTGAAAGAAGAAGATTTGGTGGAGGCATCCATTGAAGACTTCTTCATTTGTGGGTTTGCATGGAACTTTCACGATCTTCAAAAGCTTCATAAAACTGAATCAAATTGCAGTTACAGGTTGTCAACTGCTGCATTTCCAGAAAAAAAATGACATACTGCTGCTGTTGCCGAATCACTATAATCTGTATGTCTGCTGAAGTGTGTGTGTGTGTTGTGTGTGTGTGCATGTGTTGTGCGTGTCTGTGGGTGTGTTGTGTGTGTGTGTGTGTGGCGTGTGTTGTGCGTATGTATGGTGATGATGTGTCATGGGCCATTGATGAGTTGGATAGGTGGATGATATTGGTAATGTCTTAAATACCGTTAATTAGTGTAATATTTTGACTTTTTTTAGCCATTAGATCATTCGATCGAATGACTACGATTTATTCTTAGTTCTTTCACTGAGTACTATTCTACCGGAGCGCGACCATACATATACATATACATATACATATACACATATATATATATACACTACAAGAAAATGAAAAAATTTCAACAGAAATATATTCTAATAGAATTCCAACGGCAATTCCAATGGATATTTCAATGCTTTATTTCGGTTGGAATTATTTTCTACGAAAATTCCAACAAAAATATTTCGTTGGAATGAGTTTTCCATTGGAATTTCCGTTGGATTTTGACGATTCCAACGGTAGACTTTTCAACGGTGGTGGAAATAAAAATTCCAACGGAAATTGCATATTCCAACGGAAATTCCTACGGTCAAAAGACGTTGGAAATATAGCCGTTGGAATCATCAAATTCTATCTAAAGTTCCAAGGAAAAATACATTCCAACGGAATATTTTCGCTGGAATTTCCGTTGGAATTATTCCAACGGAAGCTATATTATTGGAATATCCGTTGAAATTTTCATTAGAATATATTGTTATAGGATTTTCCGTTGGAATATAACATTTTTTTGTAGTGATATATATATATATATATATATATATATATTAATCTAATACTCGTGTAGTACACGAGTTTGTTGTGTTAATAATTTTTATTTACAAATGTGTATGTGCATCTTTATTATTAGTTTTCAAATTCAAACAAAGTAAGATTTTAACAAACAAACTTATAAATCTATATCTATATATATATATAATTGTTGGCAAGCTTCATTAAATTTTATTCAGCCATCAATTAATAAAAATATAGTTAATTTAATAAAAATCTTTATGATTCTCTTAAAAAACCATTACAACATATTTTATTTATTTAATTTTCTTTTAATTTGTTCATACAACTATCCACCTATTCTTATTTTACTATATTTTGGGTTTGTAACGGTTGCATGAGATTACTATTTTTTATTTCTTTATATTGAGGTCTGTAAGTGTTGCATGGTGACGAGATAATGTTTAAATCATTAAATTTGAATGGTTAAAAATATTCTTTTTTAATTTACATGTTGATTATTCACATGTGAAAGAAGTATTAATTATTAATATGATATAGATACAATCCAAAATATATATATATAACATCTTTTCTAATAGTGATATTTACACCAACTCCAAATTTAAATTTTTCTTGCAAGATTGTATTGAATTCAATGAAAAATAATTATCTATTTCATTCTATGCAATATATATAGTGATGAAGTTGAATATTTTTATGACGTTCATTTTTACTAATTACAAAATTTTCAAAATGTAATACTATTATTTAACTTATAATTTTATTATTATACATATACATATAACTTATAATAATTTAAACATATGTGCATTAGGAGAGGGTTGAATACTAGTTTTAAATAAACGGGCTTACGAGAGTTTGCAAACGTGCAGTTATTAGCGAGAAGGGGTTTTAACTTTCAAGTCACCAGTGCCAATAACCCCTAACCCGCTATCAGAGTATCATCAACTGTCATCAACATGACAATTTCTGAGAAGACGGAGGCTGAACCATATCACCCTTGGGAACGGAACTTCAATGGGAAATCCTTCAGTGAGTTTCTATGTTTTGATTCAACCTGTGTAAATTTTTGTGCATATAATTAATTTATTTTTCTTGTGTATTCCATAGAGCCTAACAGTATAATCTCCATGAGTGCGTATGGTCCGCATCCCAGTTTCGACGTTGTTTTTGGTAATTTATATCTCGATATTCATACTAAAAAAGCCGCACTCAGAGCTTCTCCGTCTGTTGTGAGTCTCGTATCTTATTCAGGTGCGTGTGCTTCTGCTTATTTCTTTTTGACCTGTTACTATCACATTTTTTTTCATTGTGTATGCTATGCAAAGTAGAGAATTTAGGGATGAAGAAGAGTATTTCTCGTTTTTGTCTGGGTCTAAAATGAATAATGTGTATATTACAACTGAGGGCTATTTATACGGTGATGATCAACTAAAACTGAAAGTAACATCATGCTTTTACTAGCAACTACTAGCTAATATTCGACGGTTTGCTTACTTAATATTCTTTTTTTCAATAGGCGGAGAAGAGATTTTCCAATGTTCAGGAACAATTATAGAGAGCAATGTTACTAGTAGTATTATACTAACCTCTGCTGATTTGATCCGGATCCCATCTCCTGAGGTTGGAAATCCAACTGGTGTAAGCGCCACTCCAGATGAAGATATTTATGACAGGCGCTGTAGAAGTGCAATTGCCAACCCTGTAAATGTAAGTTTTATGGAGTATTTGATGTCTGTTGTAAATGCAAAAATCAATAGAAACTGAACATTGTCATGTTGAGTTTCTTATCAACATTGTACAAAACAATGAGGAATTTTTCTCAAGTATTTTGGGAATTTTCATAAACTCAATTGAGCATTATACAATGCATGGTATATTCGTACACAGTCAGCAGCTGCGATACTTGAATTTAAAATTAAGAGCATAAACGACATTTTGTACGAGTAGATAATAGAAAATAAACCCGAGACTAAAATACTAAAATATGAGCATGATTTATGAAAACACGCCTGACTTCTACGAAGAACATGCTGGTAACTATTAACCTCTATTTGCGAAAGAATTTAGTTTCTGTTGTTATTTGAAATAGAAGATACTAGCAATGATGAACAGATGTAAATAAGTCGATTTCTGGATGGGGTTGGGAGTCCTAAGAGGACATTAGGTATTCAGTCCAGTTTTGATTCCGTGGAAATAATCAAATTTCTGAGAAGAGAAGAATGTGATGAACAAATAAGTTTAAGGTTTTCCAATATGTTGAAACTCCTAGCTGTGAGACTTACAACATACAAATGCTTGAGCAATATATATATATATATATATCATAATCCTGCGTGGTGACTATCATAAGTATTTATTTTACTAGATTTAGCCAAATACATAACAAGTAATTAGAAATTTACATTTATCTTTGTGGTAGATGCATCTGGATAGCTGTTAACACTTTTGTGAAAATGCTTATATAGGTGGTTAATATGATGATTTATTCCTATTATTCCTTTTAGGTTGTCGTGCACCTATCTGATGGTCAGGAGTTCGATGGTCAAATCTTGGGATTTGATTCTCACTACAATTTGGCTGTCATAGAAATCAAGTCAGCTACTCCTTTGACAGCAGCATGTTTAAGACTTGTGGATGATTCTATCTCGGTTGATCCAAGTGATTGCGCTTCAGATTCTTGTCCACATTCAGATTCTTATAATCTTACCCCTGGAGATTGCGTAATTGCGCTTGGTCGTTTCTTTAGAAAGCCGTATGAATTAATGGCCGCTCCTGGAGAATTCAGGTACAAGTATATCTGAATTACTTGTATGTTTCAAAAACTCGACTATGACAAGCCGGTAGTATAGTGTTGAATTGTTTTATTTATTTTTTTTAACTATTTGACACCTTGACCCCTTTGTTAAGTTATTAACTTCTTGTGGTTTCTTGTTTCAGCATTAGTCGCTGTGATTATGAATGCAAAGAGCTTTTTAGGGCGAATTGCAGGATCACAAGGGTATCACTTTCTTCTACTTTGAAATTTAATCATGTTTTTCCCTGGGATTCTTTTGGTTAATTTTTTAACGATATCATAAGAACTTGTAGGTCTAGCTGTATTTTTATTTATATTTCGGATTATTTGTGAGTGGGTGAACAATACTGTAAGTTATTTGATTTAATTTAATTTTATTTATCTGTAGTGTGGTGTTGGTGGACCACTTGTTAACTGCTCTGGGGAAGTTATTGGGACATGCTTTTATGATCTCTTTTATACTCCTTTTCTGCCTGTGAATCTGACTTCCAAATGGTGGTATCACTGCAAGAGAATGAGGTACTTTCCGTCCTTTGTAGTTTAGCTGATATTTTTTTTTTTATATCATTATGTGTACGTTGAGATTGGAGAATCAGTGCTAGAGATGTTGTTCAACTTATTTGTATTTCTTTTTCAGGATTGTTTGAGGTTGACTGGACTATAATCTATTTGCAATTTTAACATGGGGCTTAGCTGATATGGCAGTAGGGGATTGGGAGATTCAAATAACCTTGTTGTTTCTTGATATAAGCAATGGAATTGTTGATTCAAATAAACTTGTTATTTCTCTATATAAACAACTAGATTGTTGAAATAAATCTCTAAAAATCCATTCATTATTAGGATTTGCTTGCACTTAAGATTCTAGTTGTTGGCTTTTGACAAGTCTAGTGAAATTAATTTATTGATTGCTAATCCAATGTACTTTTTACTGAATAGTTAAAAGTTAGGTGTAGTTATTGCGTACACATAGTCAAAAGTTAGGTGTAGATATTATACACACTTAAGAGTAAGCAAACAATAGGTTTGGTTGAAAACAAACTGAAACGAAATAAAATATTCCGAAAACCGAATTTTTCAGTTTTTAATAACGGAACCGAGACTGAAAATTCGAATTGCTCGGAACATAGTTTTCATTTTTAAGTTAAACTTTTCAGAACTGGAGCTTCAGGTTGGCTTGGATTGATCCAAAAGTTTATTAAAGTAACTGATTTTCAAATTCTATAACACTTCTGAGAGAAAGTTTAAAATTATTAAACCACTTAAACTTGTTAGCATTCGACTTTTTTCAAATGTAGATGGTTCCATAAAACCTATGACCTAATTAATGATGCTATGGCTCAGGGAAATGCATCAGGAAATCCGCCGTCCTTTGCTCTCAATGGAACTTACCAACCTTTATGCAGTTAGAATAGGCTTACTAGAGAAGGTCATTCAGAAGTTCCCTAACACCTTCAAGGGGGTTATTATTGAAGAGGTATGTCTAGTTTTATTTCTAGAGAGGTTTCTCTGTTGAGAACAATTCATTGTCCTTATCAGAAAATTTACAACAATTGTATAAGAGATGCAAAAAATTTCTTGATATTTGCGAATAAATGCATAGGTTGGTTACATGATTATATGCTTAAGAACGAAATTAGTGACTTTTCTGGTGGATAATAGTCAATAATACAACTTTTCCACATGGATAAACAATTATATCTTTATTTAAACATGTATACACTTGCAATGTACTTCTCTTATAAATTATTCTTATAATTATTTTATAGTACTACTTACTAAATATGTGTCGATTGATCCAATGGCCTATCCAATAGGTTGCACCAGGCTCTTCTGCTCAGATAGCTGGAATCTTTCCCAACGATATTATTATTGAATTTGGTGGAAAAAGAATCAGGAGTTTCTTGGAGGTATTATTTGCCATATCTAATAGCTTATTCTTCCTATTACTCGTAGGTAATACCTGCTTTTCACTACATTGCCATTTTTGGATTTGGATTCCAGAAATCTATGTTGAAACCTATTATAAAATTTTATTCCATCAAATCTAGTTATATCTTGCATCTCTCGAATTATACCAAAGCAAAAAGAAAATGCACCTTTATGCAACCGTACACAATCTTAATGGCTTTATATATTTTTTTCCCCAATTTTCTAACCTATTTTGTTGATATATTTTCTATAATTATGTTTATATAGTTGCTGGAGATGATGTGGGATAATGTTGGAAATCACGTTAAGGTGGTCATAGTACGACACAGTGACGGTGTTTCCATGCCTATTAGCATGGTAATTGATGAGGTGGCTCCAGAAAAGTTCTATCGGTAAATTTCTTACTTTCTTGTCTTCTTTAATACGCCATACGCCATTTTTTGCAGATCGATAATAAGAATGATAAGGGACCCTTTTGTATGACTACTTTGAAAATAATTATTAATGTTGTTGTTGTTGTTTGTGGTGACGTTTTATCTAACTGTTGTGTACTTGACTACATCAGCTGGCCACTTTTACAATTTGTACGCTGAACTCTGGAGGATTTGATGTCAGGTAACGTATTTTATATTGAATGATGGCTGTTAAATTATGAAATGATGTCTTCAGTGCATGTCCCTTTGTGGAAAAGAGCATGTTTTAGTCCTTGCATTTTTCTTTGTGGATATATTAGTGCCTCTTTCTATTTCTAAAATACCACACCCCTTAAACTGTTGGGACTTCATCAAGTGGGCCACAATTCTCAAATCTCTTATAAGACAATTGGCACCTCAAACAGAATTTTATCTTCTTTGAATGAGGTTCCTAATCTTTCTTTGAACCAACTCTTCCTACCTGGTTATTCTTCTTCACCATTGTCTACCCCAAACTGAATTTTATCTTCTTAATGGACATAGAACATTATATAAAAAATGGTTATGTTTCTCTCCTTAGTTCCCTAAATCAGAGAATAGGACACATATGGCAGTTGTGACCAGAACAATGATTACAATCACTAGTCATATCCATCTTTATACAATGGAAGCTTTATCGTATTACCCACCTTATAAGGCATATATTTCCGTCAATTGAATTAAACTATGCCAGTCTCTTTTGTCTACATCAGATGTGAACATGGTGGGGTTTTCTCTGTCTTAATAGTCTAAGAGCCTGTTGGGGTCAAAATTATTATCCTGTTTATTGGTTTGATACTTGATCCTCAAAAAATTGAAGTAACCTTGGGATTTGAATTCCTTTGTTGTCTTTTCTTTTGTTGTATTTTCTATGTGCTGAATTTCCGAAATAGTTCAAAAGCTCTGCGATGTTCTCTGTTGCTGAATTTAACCAACTTTNTATACGTAGTATAAACTCCATCTTTTGACAAGCTAAGGTTGTGTTTTGGCTTTACGATTTTTGAGAAATTGGAAATAAAAAATTGTGATGTGAAAAAGTTCTGAGAAAGAACACATACCTAGCAGTTTCTTTCTTTCTAAATCTACTCAGGATGCGTAATTGTTCAGTCACAGAATGAAGAACCTCGGCTGCCTGTCAATTTTTGTGCTAGTTAAGTGGATTTTGGTCAAGTGAAATATACCTAAGCTCACTGTCTTTAATCCTTTTCTAATGTCTTGTTTTGCCTTTCTTCCTCAAAATTTCAGACAGGTGGTCATTCGGCTTCAAGCATTGTAGTGGATTGTTGAGACTACTAATTTACCCTGGATATATTTAGCATAGGCCTATTTTTGTAATGCCATTTTTGTAAACAAGTCATTTTTGCGGTCACTTTTTCAGTAATCATCATTTCCTGATGAATGTCTTCCGACGTGAAATGCCCATTTTCATCTGGAAATTGCTGGAATGATGTGTGAAAAAATGGCTTAAAATGATGTTTAGGCATGGAAGAATGATTATTTTGACCCCATTTACTTTCTGCAACTGTCAAGATAAGCAAAATCTCATATGCTTTCTCTTCACTTCTTCTGTTGGCAGTAAGCTAGAGCTTGTTTATGTGACTATCAGGTTAAGCAATCTCACATTCTTGCTGCCTTATTTTGGAGCAACCGGCGTGTTATGTAACAATGGGTTTGAGCAATCTCTCTTGTGCTTAGGAAAAGCCATCTTTTATAATTTTCAAGCAAAATTGCAGGATTAATCTATTTACTTTCGGTTCCTACGGAAATTAGTCAACCTGCGCACGAGTCCACTGAATGATTAATAAATTACCTTAATCTCTAACATATTATATGCCAAAAGCTTCTAAAAAGACAAATCTAAATTCGAATAATACCAATTTGAAAGGCAAATATCTATGACATGTGTTACTAATAAATGAGTTTTACAACCCGAAGCACCGACTGGCCTTAACAAAGAAAATACAAGGAAGAACCGGTAAGACACGGCTTCAAATACAGAAAATCAACTAAAGAGAATTCAAGCTAAACATATTACCAAAGGCAAGTACAACCACTTGAGACCTTTGGAAAATAAGCAAAAATGACCAAGGACAAATAGAAAACAACAATCTAGGACAAGGTGCTAAAACCATTGAACCGCTGAACCGCAGGACCTAGCCATAGCCTCCTCATCCCCAAGAATGGTTAATAAACAACCTTCCTGTTCAAGAACTCTTGCCATTCCTTGAGGGCCATTTGCAAGATTGTCTTAATAGGAAGCCACAATTTTTTAAAGACCCACAAGTTACGGGCTTTCCACAGCCACCAGAGAATGTAGGTGGAAAGCTGTATTCGGGATTCAGAAATGTCAGAATGGTCTAGAGTGGAGATCCACCACCACCATTCTCTGAATTTGATGTCATGATTGTGAAGGTTGTTTCAGTCCATAGGAGAAGCTTTCCAAACCAAAATTGCTCTGTGGCAATGAAAAAAGAGATGTTCGGTTGTTTCTTCCTCAGCACCACAACAAGGGCAAATACTGTCAATAGAGAGACCCCTTCTCATGAGATTTGTGGTGTCTGGGAGTGCACCAGAGAAACCTTTCCACAGGAAATGATTGAGCATCCCTTTAATGTTCAGTTTCCAGCACCTTCTTATTGCAGCACAATCTTTGTTTTTCCCATTGCTACTTTCTGCCATGTCAAGAGATAGGTGTTTCTGCTTGGTGAGTTTTGAGTAGGCATTGGCTATAGAGAAGGTGATTGTTTTGTTGGTGCCATCCCAAGTCCATCTGTCCTTAAGGTAAGAGTTCAAAGTGTTAATAGCCAAAATGGCTTTGCAATCTGCATCAGAAAAGCAACTCTTTACCAGACTTTCATTCCATCTACTCCTACCAGGTTCAAGAAGTTCATGCACCCATACAGGCTGAGAAAGGCAAGACTGCAAGGCCTGAGGGACACCAGAAGGAATCGTAGGAATCCACGGATCAAAAAATATTTTAGTGTTCCTTCCATCTTTTACTCCCCTTCTGAAGCAATGTTTATATTTTTTCTTGACAACCATCCAACAGTTCCACATCCAAGAGGCAGAGTGAATCTTACCAGCTTAAGGACATAACATGTAGGGAAGTATCTTTCTTTCAGAATTTTACTCACAAACAAGTTAGGTTTAGAAAGTAACCTCCAAATTTGTTTTAGGATCATAGAGTCATTAAAGAGCTTGATGTCATGAAAACCCAGACCACCATTGTCTTTGGGAAGAGTTATGTGGCTCTATGCTTTCTAGTGGATTCCTCTTTTTTGATCTTCTCTAGAACTCCACCAAAATTTATCATTCATCATTGCAATTTCTTTGCAGATTCCTGAGGGTAAAGAGAAACATGACATGATGAATATTGGGAGTGCATTGATAACAGAGTTGAGAAGAACTTTTTTGTCTGCCGGGGACAGGAGATTGTTTTTCCAGCTTTCTAACCTCTTCCTTACTTTCTCGACAACAAAGCCAAATGCTTCTTTTTTTTGATTTTCTTATTCCAAGTGGCATGCCCAGATATCATGAAGACCTATGAGTGGGAATTCCATCCAAAGCCAAGCAAATATCTCTTTGCTGGGAGAGATGGGAATTCTTGCCGAGAAAAGCAGAAGATTTTTGCAGGTTAACTTTATGACATGTGAATGCTTGATACCTGTGCAGAATGGATAGGAGCCTCTGAGTTTGCAAGAGGCTAGCTTCACAGTAAACCAGGGCGTCATCCGCAAAGAGCAGGTGAGTAAGAGGTGTTCCTCCTCTGATTATTCTTAGACCTTGAAATCTGTTGTTTTGCACATCATTAGCAAAAAGTCTGGAGACAGCTTCCGAGACCACAATGAAGAGGTAAGGGGACAGAGGGTCCCCTTGTCTCACTCCTCTAGATGGAGCAATAAAGCCACAGACACTGCCATTAATATTAAAGGAAAAAGCAGAAGAAGAGATGCAAGGAGATATCCGTTTCACAAAGGAAGGGCGAAAGCCCATTTTTAAAAGAATGTTAATAATGACAAGGTAGGTTGTGAATCAAAAGTTTCCACATTACTTGAGCACAAGACAGTTTTATTTCTCACTTAATAGGTACGCTTAAGTTCTAAAAGTACTCAAACTCGCGTAAACAATACTCATTAGGAGGGTGAGCATATGGCACAACCAACTATTGCGTTGGTAATTTTTGTCCACCAATTAATTTCTTTTACAGTTTTGTCCGAATTTTGGTAGAAAATTATAATATATTAATATATAACGACACTACTTAAGTAATCCGATAATAATAATAAAAAAAATTATCTAAATCCCACCTAAATATATTACTAAACATAGTAAATTAGTTTGAAAATATGCAAATATACCCCTTTTTGAATCGTTTGAATTTTTTAAAATTTTCATATCAAACCGTTTGAAATACTTGCAACACATTTTTTTAAATCATTTATCTGTAGATAAAAACACTCAAATGCTTATCTCTAACACACGTGCTTAGCTTATCTATATACTCCCTCTATTTTATATTATTTGTTATTTTAGCTTAAAAGAATACAATTACATATTTGAAGGAATAGTTATCTTATCATGTACTATTATATTTTTCTAAATCTCCTAAATCTTATTGAAATAGTTTTTTAATAATTTTACTTCTAAAGATACGTAACAAAGAAATAAACCATGAACTCAATCTACAAATTTTTAGGGTTTGAAATATTATAAAACTAATTACTCGTTCATGGTTATCCAAAACGACAATTAATAAGCAAAAATAAAGTACACTCAAACGACAATTAATAATAAACGGAGAGAGTATTAGTTAATATAGTAATCCTTGAAATTAACGGAATATTAGTTTATAAGTTTTAAAACCCAGTCTATCATGTAGAGTTTTGTGAAAACAATGTACTCTTATTTCCCAACAAACACTTCATAGATGTAGATTAGTTAATTTAACAATTACTGAAATAAATGTCTTTTCATGTAGAGAGGTGTGAAAACAAAACTCTTACATTCTATTATTCGTAATGCAATAAGTACCACGTCATGAATAAATACAGGTAATCATATTGTAGTTTTTTAGAATTAGTTGTACATCAATTTGCTTTAATAAAAAAGTATTTCAAAAAACAAAAAAAATAAATAAATATAGGGGCTGGGTCAATCCACGGGTCAGCCCACCGGGTTTTGACCCGATTTACCGGGTCCAATATTGCAGGTATGATCCAATCTACGGTAATTTTGCACTTAACTAGGATTAATCATCTAATTTTACCCCCAAATTCCTATTGGTGCTGAGAATTAAAGAAGAAAAAATCACAGCATTCTGCTTTTAGGTTAGGGAGAGGGTTTCGCGCCAATAACCCCAAACCCGCCTTCAGACTTCAGTATGATGAATTGGAGGAAGAGGAAGGCGCCATCTGACCCTTGGGAACGACAGACAAAGGGCTCTTCCTACAGTAAGTTAGTTTTTTATTTAAACAACCAAAGTGTTCGAATCCCGGTGAAGTGTTTCTTCGCTCTCTCTGAGTTTTGTGCCAAAGTTAGATATCTTTGATTTTATTTTTATTTTTAATTTATTTTGTGTATTGCATAGCCCCGGATGATATGGCTTACGTCACAGACTATGGTTTGAAGCGGCCTAAATTCCATGTTCATTCCGGTAATTTGTATCTGGATATTCGTACTAAAAAAGCGGCTCTGAGTGCTTCTCCATCCGTCGTGAGTCTTGTTTCTTATTCAGGTGCGTGAGCTTATGGTTATTTGTTGTTTACTTGTTGCGAATGTAATTGAAATCTCAAGTGGTGAAAATGAATAAATGTGTATATTGCAAATGAGACTACTAAAACTGTCTATTTACACCGAGCTGAATAGCGGCTGCTTAATAGCTAATGTTCCAACAGTTTGCATATTTTATGTTCTTCTTTTGTATAGGTGGAAATGAGATTTGCCAATGCTCAGGAACTATTATAGAGAGCAATGGGACTAGTAGTATTATACTAACTTCTGCTGATCTGATTCGGGTCCAATCTCCTGATGCTGATTGCAACCGTATAACTGCCAGTTCCACTCCGGAGGAAGATGAAGAAGAGCGCTGCAGAAGTTCAATTGCCGACCCCGTAAAAGTAAGTTCAATGGAGTATCGTGTGTGCATATATCATGAAATGTGAGGGGTTCAGCAAGAAAAAGCAAGTGTGAAATATATATGTATATTTTACCGATTTCTGTAAAAAATTAGTAGGTCGGCATTTGCATTTATCTTGATAGTACATGTGTCTCGAATCTCTCTTTTCTCTTAATACATTTGTGAAAATACATATTCGGCCAGCAAATAACATCAGTTATTCCTTTTAGGTTGTTGTTTACATATCTGATGGTGAGGAGTTTGATGGTCAAGTCCTGGCATTTGATTCTCATTACAATTTGGCTGTCATAGAAATCCAGTCAGCTGCTCCTTTGAGAGCAGCACGTTTGAGACTCATTGATGATTCTATGACAGTTGATCCAAGTGGTCTTGTTCAGGGAACACATTCCGAACTTCATCTCGACTCAGATTCTTATTATAATCTTACCCCTGGAGATAGTGTAGTTGCAATTGGTCGTTATTGTAAAAAGCCATATGAAATAATGGCTGCTCCTGGTGAATACAGGTATAAATATATTTGAATTGTATGCATCTTTCATAAGCAAGATGGTACTAGTGTCGAAGAAATTTATTTTAACTACTCGTTTCTTGTTTCAGCATTAATAGCTGCGAGTATGACTGTAAAGAACTTTTTCGGGCGAATTGCACTATCACAAGAGTACCTCCCTCTTCTACTTTGGCATTTAATAATTTTGTTTTCTTTTCTGGGTTTCCTTTGCCATATTGATTGTTAGTCAATATTGTGGCTGATCTTATTTATTTATTTGTTTTGTAGTGTGGTGTTGGCGGACCACTTATTAACTCCTTTGGAGAAGTTATTGGAATATGCTTCTTTTTTGATACTTATTATACTCCTTTTTTGCCCGTAAATCTGACTTCCAAATGGTGGTATCACTGCAAGAGAAACAGGTACTCTTCTTTTTCTAGTGTAGGCGTTATTTCTGAACTTAATAACTTTATAAATTAAATTGAGAATTGAGATGGGAGAATCTCTTTTACAGATGTTCTACGTATTAATGCTCTTTTATAAGTCGTGGAGTTTGTCAGAACTGGCCTCAGCTTCGTGTTGATTGATCCATAAGTGTCTTACAATGAACTAGTTTTAAACTTCCATAACATCTCAGAAGAAAAGTATAATATTATGATTTATGAATGCATTCAAACTTTTTAGCTTTGAGTAATTTCATATGGTAATTCTTTCTTACGATCTGTGATCCAATTATTGATGCTCGGGCACAGGGAAATCCAACAGGAAATCCGCCGTCCTTTGCTTTCAATGGAACTTACCAATCTTTATGCAGTTCAACTAGGCTTGCTAGAGAAAGTCGTTCAGAAATTCCCTAACACCTTCAAGGGTGTAGTTGTTGATGAGGTACTCTAAAGAGGTCATTATGTTGAGAACAATTGGTTCTCTTATATATAAGAAAAGCTCAACATTTTAATACGAGATGCGAACAATGTCTTGATATTTAAGAATATATGCATCGATTTGTAACATCACTGCATGCTTCAGACAGAAACTAGTGATTTGTTTGGTGGACAATAATAAAACTTTTACACACAGAAAAAGTTACATTTTTATTTACGTATATATATATATATATATATATATTTTTCATGTACTTCTCTTTTAAATTGTTCTTACAAATAGTATGCTTCGAATGACCCAATGAGCTATTTAATAGGTTGAACCAGGCTCCTCAGCTCAGTTAGCTGGACTCCGTCCCGACGATGTTATTGTTGAATTTGGTGAAAAAAGAATCCGGAGTTTCTTGGAGGTATTATTTGTCATACATAATAGCTTATTATTCCTATAACATCAATGTTTTATGGATGCCTTGTACTTCTCACCACATTTCTCTTTCGGTTCCATATTTCAGAAAATTCATGCTGATTTTTTATTAATAAATTTTATTTCCATCAGCCTTCTACAACTTGGTCAATTCTATCGAATTACAAAAGAAAAAAGAAAATGCACCTTTATGCAATTGTAAACAAACTTCGTGGTCCATTTCTGTGTTCTTATCTTAATTATAATTATGTTTATTACATCAGTTGTTGGAGATGATGTGGGATAATGTTGGAAAACATGTAAAGTTGGTTGTTGTACGAGACAGTGACAGTGTTTCTGTGCCGATTAGCATGATGATCGATGAGGTATCTCCGGGAAAGTGCTACCGGTAAAATTCTTATTTCGAAACCTTCTTCATTAGGCAAATTTTTGTATATTGGTAAAAGTATAATGATATGATGAGCTTTCATGCAACCACTTTGAAATGGTAGTGTTTGTCATTTTTATTTTGTTAGATTGATAATCTGTTCCTAAAATATGTACTTTACTCCATCAGCTGGCCGTTTTTGAATTTCGGAAGATGAACATTGGAGGATTCAAGTCAAGTCAGGTAATAATTTTATATGGTTGCTGGTTGTTGAACTTCATGAAACAATGTCTTGGGTTTTGTGTCCTTTTGTGGAAAAAGAGTGAATGTTCTAGACCTCAAGTTATTGTTTATGGACATATTTCTATTTCTGGAATAACACCACTCTTGAACAATTGGGACTTCATCAAGAACACCACAATACTGGCATCTGATATTCCACTCTTGCTTTCCTTGAACTAATTTTTCTTACCTGGTTATTCTTCTTTGACCAAGTTATTCTTTCCTTATTATCTATGCTATATGAAATCCACCAAAGTAGCTTTTGACCAGCTAAGATTGCATTTCGGCTTCACGATCTTAAAAGAACTATATTGCATAGAAGAGTTGAGAAAGAGCAAGGACTCAGCAATTTGGGTTTTCAGTCTTTACTCAGAACACGTAATTGTTCAGTCATAGAATAGTGTTAGGTGTCTGTCAACTTCTTTGCTGATTAAGTGAATCATTTTGAATTCGTCATTTTGGTAAACATTAATGTTGCAAGAATATATGTGATCTTAATGCTTTTTCTAATGTTAGGTGATCAATCCGCTTCAAGCAATGTGGTGTTTTGTTGGGACTACTTATATTCTTGTGAAGTGCTGGTTTATTAGTTATTTACTGGATAGAACTTATTTTGTTGGCGGTTGCTCCTGTTTCTAGCTATCAAACTATCAGGATAAGCAATCTCATAAATTTGATGTTTCAACTTATTTTGTTTGCTAATACTTAAATTTGATGTCTCAGGATAGTCAATCTCTTATGCTTATTGGTTACAGTAAATCGTAGTTATTGGGACAAGCCATCCCTAATAATTATCTCAACAATCTTTTGTGCTTATATCTTTACATTCATTCTATGATTGCCATTTTTACAGCTTTGTGATTGAGCTTCTTGTGCTGTTAGCACTAGTAGCATCTGTTAACTATTATATTGTGGTTTTACTATTATTTTAATGAAAAATCTTGAATAGAAAATGATTACCGTCACTATTGTAGTATTTGTATCATCTATATCTATATAAATATAATAAGAATAAGGTTAAATCAATTTTAGAAAATCTTTCCCGTTAAAAGCATTAGTTACATACTAAAAATAGTAATTTACCCTTTAAATAAATATATATATGTACATATATGGAAAAAGATGGGTATTTTTTTTTTTCCCGACAGATAAATTTATTTTAAAAACATTGAAATTTTCAGTCTAGAAACACAGCCCGATTCTAAATGAATCAAATGGCTACTAAACTGAAAGTCAGAGGTGTACTCATAGGTAGCATAGAGTCGACAACGCAATCACAAACTACACAAGAACTATCATAAGACCTATCATTTGGTGGTTATTCATGTCCAACAGAGAAACATGCCAGTCAAGGGTTTACTAACCTTGAAATCGTGATAGGCTAACTATTTGGCCGTTCCAATTCATGACTCACACAGTTTTTAAACCAACCTGTTGGTTAAAGTTTAATTTAAAAAAGAAATGTATTTATCAGACTTCTATGGAAACCCAAAAATCTACACATTTGGGTGGTCGTGAAGCAATGACTGACTTCTCAAGTTTGCTAGTCATAAAATTAAAGGGTTTAATGTACGAAATCTCCCTGTATTTATCAGAATGTGCGTCCCTCCTGCATTTCAAAAAATGCAGAAACACTCTTATATTCAATTAGCCGATGCACGCTTTCCTCCATTTCGTACAAGTTAACGATGCATGAGTATCAAACACTATAACTGCGAAAGTTATTCAATTTCTTATTTTATAGAATTAGTGATTTACAATTATACCTTTCTTAGTTTTAGTTTCAAAATGAAAATAATTACAAGAATTGAGATTCTACCTTTCTTAATTTTAGTTTCAAAATAAAAATAATTACAAGAATTGGGCTTCAAACATCTTACCACCATAACACAAGACTCAGTTCATTAAGTTAGTGGACACAATTATACTACGCAACATGAAAAAAAATTAGCAAAAATATGAAATAAATAAAATAACAACAGATAATAATTATTTCAGTGATTTTTAATTGAAATTACAAATTATAACACTTTGAATCTTATTATTCTCATGGTCTCATTTTGTACAACACACCTTATACAAGTCTTGAATGTGGTATCTTTTAGTAGTTATGTCTAATGACATGAATATTAGACTAAGTATACTGTAACAACAAATTGCGTGTATTGAATTTATAAACACAAAAATATTATATATATATATATATATATATATATATATATATATATTCTTCAGACTCTAAAATCTAATTAGGGTCACGAGAAGGATAGCCCTGACTAATGGTTTGATTCTTCTTCCGCGAACTAAGGTGCGACGCGAAAGGAGCCTACCTAACCTTATTTTTTACTTCACTTCGCTTCGCTTCGTTCGTTGGGGCAACTTTCGTGTAGTTTGTGATTGGATGTAACGGTTAAGATATTTTCTCGGATAAATCTTTTTCTTTTAAATCTTCTTAAGTAATCCCTTAAATCTTCGGAGAATGCGGAGTTGTATTATTGTAACTAAATTTCTCGAATCAAATAAATATTGTGGATTGCAATCTCTACTTTCCACTCTGATTCTTCTCATTAACGATTTTAAGTATTGGAGCGAAATCTTGAGTTTGATCTTCTTCATGACTTGATTTGACTTGAATTAACGTTAATTAGAGGGCCAACGCCATTTCGGATCAAACACCGTAATATCGCAAGAACGTGAAGAACATGAGTCCTTGGTCTTCGCAACAAAGTCGATCTTGATCTTGAATCTTCTCCGCGTCGGTTTTGAGTTTACTAACGCAATTCGGAGGCTTGATAGCTTATTTCCGGATTAAAACGCTAGTCTTGGTTGAACTCACTTGAATTTTGCTTCGAATCTTCAAGAACGCCTTTGAATCTTCAAGAACACTTGAATCTCGTCCAAAGAATCTCTAATGCTCTTGAACTTGAATATGAACTATGACGTGTGTTTTTTTGGGCTTTAGGGAAAGTCTCTATTTATAGGTGTTGGAGAGATAATCCTACCAAATTTAAGAAGTGTAGGACGCAATTTGATTGGTCCAAGGGCATTGAGTCCTAAGAATTTGACCATTTTTCTTCCTAACAGAAATGTCGATCTTCAACTTGAATGCCCTCTCGTATAATCATTTTTCTTCTAATCAGACGGTTGTGGGTTCGAGTCCCATTGGGCGTGCCAAATTTGTAACAATAAATTTTATGAAAATCATAAAACTTTTGTACAACTTATTTTATTTTGATCAAACGATATTGCGGGTACAATCTCTATATGGAAACCTCTGATTCTTCTTCTCGTGGACTTGGATTTGAATTTTCGAAAATGGATTTTGACTTGCATAACGTTGACTCAGGGTTTGATAGCTTTTCCCTGATCAAATGCTATGTTGGTTGAGTTTCTCGACGAACGCACCTTGGATGTCGTTTGAACGTCGTTGATATGATTTGAGAGAAGTGGATCACGCCTATTTATTTATTTATTTGAGAGGAATCACCACCTCTTTTTCTTCTTCTTGGGTTTCATCTCCACTGAGCGTACTTCGGAGGTTAGGATGCTCTTGGATCTTCAAGAGAGTTATTGAGAGCTCTTGAACTTGAACTTGAACTTGAGATGTGTTTTTGAGGCATTGAGGAGAGCATTATTTATAGGTGTATGAGAGAGGTTCTTGGACTAGAAAACATCAATTTGATTGGTACTTCATGGTCATTTGATATAATCGCTTTCTTTATTCTAATATTTTTCTTCTTATCTTAGGACTTGACTTGGTGGGCAAAAAATATTTACATTATTAATTAAATATCTTATTTATCTTGGATTTATGTCCAAAAATAAATAAAGACACTAATTAATAAAATATTAAAATTTCGATGTCTACAAATGCCCCCTTGAGACTTATTCACGGACAAAATGTCTTGCTAGTGAATGAGTCTCAAAATTTTGGATCTAGTTGAGACATGTATATAGTTTAAACTCTTGCCCAGGGGTTCTTCAATTTGAATTTGTAGATAGTTTGAACCCGTATCAAGGAGTTCTTTATTTGTCTTGATTTGATTTGACTTGTACATATTTTATACTCGTATCAAGAAGATCTTGATTTTGTAGACATTTTATTCTCGTGTCAAGAAGTCTTCAAATTTGTAGATAGTTTATTCTCTTATCAAAGAGATCTTGATAGGCTTGGATTCATCATCAAACCACACAACATAGAATATGTTGAACCCACATGAAGAGAACGCATTGGTAGATGTAATGAAAGGCCTGGTAACACGCGGATTCAGGGTTTATAAGGGGTTCAAATGTATATACCAGCTTATTGTTGATGCACAGCTGCGCAATGCTTTTCAAAGCACAGATGTTTGAGCAAACCTAGATAACAACTCCAAGATCACAATATGAAAAAAAAAAGACTACAATTGACTTGGTGGGATGATGCGACCTTCAGGTCTTGGTTGGGATGGTTCCACCAATATATTCATTGTACGTAATTATATAATTTTGAATAATTATGTACATGTGCGCACATAATTTTTTCACATTGTTATAATTCATGTAAATAATTCTTCAGTTGATGGACTGAAATAGTAACATTTTTCAATGATTTCAGGTGGATGACAATGCTAAAGGGATGCGTTTTAAAGCTTGGGCCTATTTCAAGAATTGGATGAAAATATTTGGGAAAGACCGGGCCACTGGAGAAAATGCTGAAATTTTTGCTGAGATGGCGCGAGATATATTGAATGGAGAAGATGGACTTAGTGACTCGCCTACAAGGGAGCCAATGCATGTGGACAGAGCTAGAAGTGAGTGGACCATTGAACCACCGAATATGTCAGAAGGAGTTGACACTTCATACCCGAATCTTGGTCAATCAGAAAAAAACAAATGTTAAACCAAGGTTGTCAAAACCGGATCGGACCGCCCGGTCTGACCGGTTTAACCGGAAACCGGTTGGCACTCCGGTCCGGTGTGAGGTATGTAACCGCCAGTGTAAAAAAATGGTCCAAAATCGTTCAAATCGGTCAAAAACCGGCAAAACCAGTAAATCGGTGGCGGTTCGCACCGCCCAACGGTTGCTTGAATCTGACAATAGCATCCTAAGTTCTACCTTAAATATACAGTTCCATTGCATTCAACTTCCAATGTGGGACAAGGATATATTCCTTGTGTTTGTGAAGAAAGCTGGGCCTGATGATATAAAGGAAATAGGCCAAATTTGAGGCCCACCTCACTCTCAATTGGGCACTATAAACTAAAAGACTTGTGGAAAATTAGTTTGTTATGTTTGGCCCAATTCATTTGTCATTTTCAACAAAATTATGTAATATATGATATGATTTTACCTAAAATATTTGACTTGGGAATATTACATGAAGACGGTCTTGAGTTTTTATTTATTTTTAAATAATTGTTTGGTGTTTTTAAATGTGCAATGTTTATAATAATCTAAAATGATTATATACAAATTTCATATAAGTTTCGCAGTATAATATCTTTTGAGTTTTGATTGTCTTCAAGTTATTTATAGTCTCATATAAATTTAAAAATATACTTTATTTTTCTAATCAAAAATAAAAAATTTAAAATGTGATTTAAAATGAATAAAAATTATTTAGTTATTATTTAAAAAATTATTGTCTTCAAAATTATTTATAGACATTAATCAACATTGTCGGTTGTATTTATTAATAAGTTATTATTTAGAGAAATGTCATACACTATAAAATTAATGATAAATATATATAATTATATATTATACATATAAAATAAATAAAAAATTATATATTAATTAAACCGGTTCGACCACTGGTCCGACCAGTAAACCATTGAACCAATAACTTCACTGGTTCGATGACCGGTCCGGTTTTGACAACCTTGAGTTAAACGCATAAAAAGGGTACATGAAGATATTGGCGTGCAGTTTATGGAGATGGTGAGCACCTTAATGGAGGGGACCAATCAACACCTAGGTAACCTCGCTAGTCATATTGGATTTGAGCAGGATACAATGAAAGCACGCAAAGCTATTGATGAGGCAACGAAGAAGATGAGTTTCCTAACGATGCAAGACAAGATTGCGGTTGGTGCACGACTTTGTGAAATGACTAAAGAGTTGAACTATTTATTCAACTTTATAGAGGCCGACAAAGCGATGATGATGCAAATGATTCTAGAAGAAAAACTTTAAAAGACTGACAAAGAATTCTATAACATATTATTTGAATATATGGAATTAGTTATGTGTTTTAAAGACTAGACTGGACTTAATTGTAATATGATATTTTGTTTATTACGCAACAAGTAACTCTATAGGAGTCTATTCTTATTGGCTGATTTTGATTGTAATATAACTTTAAGTTGGTCATGATGTAGTAGCTAAATAACCGTATTTTGAATATTGTATAAATCCATTTTGCACTCTGTTATTTTTTGTGTTTGCAATCCACCCAAAAAAATAATGACATTAGTAGTTTCTTTGTCAATTGTCTATTGACATATCTATACTTATATAAAAAGCCAACCTATTTGCTAGAAATAGTAAGCAGAAAAGTCAAAGATAATTAATGCTTGCTGGAATCAGAATGACATTAATTACATATTTGTTTTGGTATTTATAAGCTTAACATTAAAGATTTGTTATGAGATAAAAATCAAAACCAATTTTTTTACCTTTGCTGGAAAAGTCAAAGGTAAGTATAGATTTTTTGTTTTTTATCCCATAACATCGGTTTAGTTAAAAAAATCCCATAAAATCGATTTTAATGTCAAGCCTATAAATAAAGATATAATCGGTCAAAATTAAATCTCTTATTAAATCATTTGTGGTTTGTTGAGATTTTAATTTATAAACATTTTAATATATATATATATATATATATATATATATATATATAGTACGTTTTGTAATAAATTTAAATAAAATGTGTTACTTAGATATCTAGACAATTATAAATTCAAATGTTTAAACTAATTGATAAATAATTTATAAATCTCTTTTTAATTTAAATATTTAATTTTAAATATAACAAAATTTATTTAAAAAATCGTATCGGTCCTACCAGTCCAACTGACTGGTGTTGACAGATTCGAGAGCAAATATTTTATTCAAGCGAACTAGACTGGTTATAAATCGGTTCTCGGTCCATCCGGTCGGACTGTGTCCAATCCATTTTAATTTAAAAACCATGAATAAATCATGATTAATGTTATTAATTTATATATTTAATTTACAATACAATCGTAATATTGTTTTCCCGTGCATCACAAAGGCCATGCACTAGTTCGTTTGATTAGTACTAGTTTTTAAAATTACCTATTTTGAGTTATAAATTTGCTTACTAAACACCATGCATTATTGTTGTGTACAAATTGTTATATTTTACCGAGTATCGAATCAAGGATTCGTTTCCCGGGTTGATCTCTCGAGGAAGGCGGTTCGGAATCTAGCTTTGGTGTCGATTACACACGAAAAGAAAATAAATCCTACACACTCTAATCAGATAAAGGGATTGAATAATTATTAACTAAAAAATAATAAAAAGCAATAATCTACCTAAAAATGTGAACGGAACAAAGATGGAGAAGCTAGGGAATCGGGATAATTAATTCAAGTTCTAGCAAAACCGGACAATTAATCGCTCGGTTCGAGATTGACACTCTCGCTTAGACATCTAACGGTTCGCTCCCAATAACTCTTCGTAACAAAGGATTGAACGTAGACGAACAAACTCGAGCATACGACACAGGCCAATTATCCGAATCCCAATAACTTTTCGTAACAAAGGACGGGTCATCGACAAGCACGTATTTCAATCCAAAACCTATAGACTCTTCAATTATGAAATCATCTACCTCAAGCAAGTCTAGGTCTGCGACTTCTCTCTTTTCGGTTCTGAAAGTCGCTAATTAACTAGAAGGTGATTAATCAACTAATCATATAAAACTGACAAACCCGAACTCGACAAATTAACATTCAATTGTTTCCAATCGCAAGATCGAAGTATCACTCTTCGATTATATCAATCAATCAGATCAATTCCTATCAGATCAACTCACATAAGCATGAACAATTCAAGCCCGACAAATACAAGTGAAACATGAACAATCATCCCCTATCCCTAGCAATAAGATTTAGCTAAGTAACATGAATTCAACACAATAAAGCATTTCACTCCAAATAATCATTCTCATGAATTAAACGAAATGAAAAATACTTGCAATCAATCCAATCCAAAAGTTGAATCCAAAATACAAGCTTAATCTCTAAAATGGAAAAGAAAGAAAAAAGAAAAAAAAATGGAGAAGAGGAGAAAAGAAGAAGAAGAAGGGAAGGAGAAAGAAAGAAAATAAGAAGAAAAATGGAGAAAAGAAGGATAATAGAAGAAGATTATGAAGGAAAATGAAGGGGGGAGCGATTTTTGGATCTAGGGTTCCTCCCCCTTCAAGCTGGAAGTGAAAGAATGGAGAAGAAAACGAGTTTTTGGGGGGTTTTTATACCATTCTGGGACTCACAGGGGTCTTAGCGCCGCTAAGGGGGGTTAGCGGCGCTAAGGAATGAAAGCTGTTAGCCTCTGGCATCGCTAACATTTGATAACGTCGCTAAGACCAGCCTTAGCGCCGCTAAGGGGCCTGGGCAGCGCGACTTTGCGTTTCGGGCTTGTCCGAACTCAGAATTGAGTTCCGTTTTTTCCTACGCGTCGTTATCGAACCCTTCTATTCAATGATGCTTGAATGGTCAAATTATTCTTGAAATCCAATTCTCTCAAAGCTTATGACTACCAGGTAATGGCTTCCGTGCACGACTTCACATATCGGGCCCGTCCGGACTCGTCCGAACTCGAAATTGAATTCCGCATTTTTCTACTTGTAGCCAACGGACCCATCTATCTAATCATGATGTCCTGGCCTGTTTTCGAGCTAAATTTATTTCTCACGGGCTTCTGACCTGCACACCAAAAACAAGAAGAAAAACGGGAAAAACATTCGAAAAACACAAAAAGAACCAAAATAAAAGGAAACACGCGATAATCCACAAAATGAACTACAAACCAACAAAAATACCTAAAATGAGGGAAAAAGAACGACAAAACAATATGGAAAAATGTAACAAAAATGAGACAAACAATTATAATTGAGTAGCTTCATTGTAAGAACAATGTCGAAGTCATTTTCATACTTAATTGCTCGAATCATATAGAATGCGGGTTGATTCTATCCTACATGTACTGGTACTGCCCTCACTTGGGTGTGGGCAGCAATTCTTCTTTTGCTATTTACAATACTATGTAATTTTTTCATCATTATTATTTATTTTAAGCAATAGTTATTAGTTTTTGTATTTTTATTAATTTATTCATTAAGTATATTTGTTTTTTCATTCTAAAATAATATCCCGTATGATCATGTATTTCATCTAATTGTGCTAATAAATTTATTCTTGCTTTAATTATTTTTATTTCTTGTTCTAGATCTAGATAAATTTTTCGTAAACTCATATTATTGTTTTAGGCGGTCCTATTTTCATATGTCTTTGTTTTTGTTTAAAACTTTGAATTTGTAATCTAATTGTTTTAGTTTTTGTTCATCTTTCTCAATATATTTATATTGGATTGTTTTTTCAATTAAATAATCTATAGTTTTTATTTCTTTCATTTTTATTGCATATAATTCAGAATTTTGATCTTTTTGAATTCTTGTTGGACTCCTTATCTAGCTCTGATACCAAATTTTGTGGACTAAAGTCATAGACTTAATTACGTATTTCATTAGAAGGAATAATCCTATTTTGGAAAAGTTTTGTTCTTTCTAAGATTAAATTCTTCTATTGCTTACTAAGAAATTCTTCTGCTAAATTGATACAGATCTTGAAATAACTTACTTCCGCTTCTTGAGCTCCAAAATTTTCAATTTCAAGAGCATATTTCATTTGATTTATGTTGGAAGACAGTTGTATACTTTCTTGTTCCGAAAGTCTTTCAGAACTCTGTTTTTCTAATAGATTTTTTAAAGTTTTTTGTAGAATAATACTCCAAGGAATTGCAGGCATGATTTTCTTTGTTTGTAGATTAGGTATTCATAAATTCAGTTAGAAAGCTGGTCATATTTTTGTCTGTTTTTTCTTCTAATTTTGAAATTCTAGATTCTATTTTTGATAATTTTTCTAACACTAATTCTAAACTAGGATTTTCTTTTTGTCTTCTTTCTGCTTTTCGTAAACAATCTAATAGTCCTTGAATATTTTCTAAAATCTTTGATTTATATTGACTATAGTCATATTCATTAATTTTATTTCTAAACTCTTGTAAATCGACTGACAATGATTTTAATTCTTGTAAACTAGTTTCTCTTTTCGCATGATATTTCTTCTTGTAGGTTTTATAAGGTCCTCTTATATATCCTGGTGTATTGGATGATTCCATTTAAATTCTTTTATTTAGACTTATTACTAAATTACTTAAGTCATTTACTTGTTTGTTTAACACTTTAATTTCATTTTCTTCTTTATGTATATTTTTAATACTGAATGGTCTTTCTATTTCTTTTCTTGCAACCAAATCATTACTATATGAGTGTCTTCCTAATGTCAACGGTGCTTTACTAATCATTCTCATGCTATGTTGTCTTAAAAAATCTTTTTGAATACTATCATTTTTTATAATTGTACTTGTTTCATTAAATATTTTTTCCGTTTATATTCTATCTTGATTTTGATAATGCATACTTAAGCTGCTATTACTTAATGCGTATGAAATTCTATAACAAACTACCATAGGTATATCTCCTGATTCCATTAACGTTTTTTCTTGGAAATTACATATTATTCCTAAACAGTTGTTTGTTTTCTTAGTTACTAATGGTATAGGGAATTGTAATGATACATTAAATTTAATTACTCCATATCCCAAATCTCCTTCTATTTCTCCTAATTTTCTTGATTCTTTATGCATGATTCTGTTATCTTCAACTATAATATTTACAGGTGTCTTTATTCTTTCTCTGGATGTTGATTTTAATATGATTTGAATTGTGTTTACATGTATATATCCTATTTTCTTTCTCTCTTCTTCTTTTATTTTTTCTAATCTTTTTTCTATCTGACTTATTTCTACAAGAGGTGCTTGAAACTTATAGTTAGCTTGCTCTATTTTTATAGGTTGTTCTCCATTCATAATTCCATATACTATTGTA